TTATTTGGTGCGGTGGCGTTTTGAAAACGCATTTGATCTGTTTGAGTAAACTACGTTTTGACAGCTTATGCGTTTTGAAAACGCTGAAAACAACGTTTTCACACCGCACCTATTATTTTCACACCGCACATATTTATGTCTGGTGGCAGCTTTCTAGTAACGGTTTGACTTTTCTAAAAAAATAAAAATTTGTAATAGCCACCGCACCTAGCTTATCAACAGATTATTTTTAATCATCTTATCAGCAGACTATTCAATAAGTTGCAGCAGCCCCAAACATACCCTTAGTCATATTCGACGAAGTTATTCTAGTAAGCTTCAACGCATAATTCTAAAAAATATCATAAAATATAAAATGATTCGTCCATATTCTTTAACAAAAAATTGCTCAGGATTGTTTTCATTTTAATCGGCCTTACTTGTTTTTTAAACCACCCTCACAGTTATATTTGTGCATCTGTTTTATTGGTGCTTTTAAGAAATTTTCAAAATTACTTTTTTCAATTGTGTTGTTAGAAAAAATATTGCATCACGTGCGGAATTCAATGAAATTACATCACGTAGAGATAATAGAAAAAAAATCGATCCGGTAATACCAGGGAATATTCCTCTCGTGTTATTCCATGTTATTCTATGTTATTATATGTTATTCAGATGTTATTGTATTATGAGAATATTTTCGATGTTATAATAACACAATAACATATTAATAACACTTGAATAACACACAGTAACACCTGAATAACACGCACAATAACACCTGAATAACACAGGAGGAATATTTTCTCGGACATATTTTATTTTTTTTTCTATGTGACGTATATTTATTAGACTTCGCACGTAACTCTACTTGCGGAGTCTTGATGTAATATTTTCTCGTGTGGTAATTAACGGAAAACCTATTTTTTGATAATAAAAAAAAAATTATAATGATTTAATTTATTCTACAGCAGGCTCGCAAGTATTTTTTCACGAAACAGATCCTAATTTTGATTATTAAAAAAGAAAAACATATCTGCTAACAACACGGAAGAAACAACTCCGAAATAGGAAGCATCTGTTAAATCCCCGACGCCTCCCCGCCCTTCTCTCTCCTTCAATCCCTCCTCCCATTCCTCCCCCATTTGCATATTTCTACCATCTCAGCCCTCCCCCATCTCGATCTCATCCACCAGCACCGAAACCCTCTCCCCAGCTCTTCCCAAATCAAGCCAGGATCGAGCTCGGAGAACAAGATCGATCAAACGCCATGGAGAAATAATCGAGGCAAGTATAAACATCGACTCAAGAAAGACATCCTGAAAAGCCAATCAAGACGAAGGCCCGCCGTGGTAACCGCGGCGCGGTACCGATTGCTAAGAAATGCCGCCACCGGAGGGAAAAACAGGGGATCTGTGCATCTGGTTCATTACCTGCATTTTCTTGGTGTTTATTCTCTCCGGTGGCATCTTCCTCGTCATCTATATAAGGCAGCCGGATTCCGATGAGATCGGCTGGATTCTCGCCACTGGAATGGTTCTTATCTCCATTCCCTGGATCTTCTGGATCTTGATCTGCTTGTATCGAAGCGTCATCCCCTGCTACAAGCAACCACCAGCTGATGTGGCGGATTCGCAATTGCATTCGCCCGGAGGAGAGAAGCGAGTGAGGTTTGGTGCGGCGACCGTGATTGAATTGCAGGATGATAGCGGTGTGGCGAACGGAGCGGCGGCGAGAAACGCCGATGGTTCTTCGCTGGGGTCGCACGAGAGTGAGGTGCCCTTCGCTATACCCATCTCATGAACTTTTTTTATTTTCATTATTTTATTTATTTTATTATTGAGATTTTGTGGTGTTTTGATAAACGATATTCATGGTATAGATGATAATTAAAAATAATAAAAAAAGAGGGTTTATTTGATTGCATGAAACTATGATTTCAATCTTGATGAATTTAATAGTTATTGTCATTTTAGTTGGGTGAATTTAGTATGAAGTTAGTCTTGATTTTGAATTTTTAAATACTTTTTGGGTAATTTTAGGGTTATTAAAAGTGATAAAAATATAGAAAGGCTGCCTAATCAGTTAGCTGTGTTTGGTGGATGAGATCATAGAGGAAACAACAACTGGATGTTTGTCGCTCAAGTTCAAACCTTCATACAAGAAAAAAAAAATCTTCTCCAACAGATTATTTCAAAAGCAAGGTCGTCATTCATTTTGTATATCGAACACGAACAAACATTTGTTCATTCCATTCAACTCGTTTTAACTCGAAATAATTTAATTGACTACAGGGCTACAAAAATTTATAAACAATTAAAACAATAGTATAAAAATATATTAAATTTTATTTAAATAAATATTTGATATAAATAATAAGATTTAAATTCACCTCTACCCTTAAAATCCTAGAGCCGTGTGACTGAGGATGTCAAAACATCTCATTGTTCGTGAACGCTCGTGTTCGGCTCGCTAAACAAACGAGTTGAACACAAATACATTTTTTGATCTCGATATATTAATGCGCCAAACACAAATCGAGTTTAAGCTCACTCAAGCTCGGCTCATTTACACCTCTACTTGTCATGTATTTGGAAGGTGACATGTTCGTGAAATATGTAAATATATATGAACTGAGTTGTAGGTATGTAACTTTCCCGAATAAAAAGATGATGTTATTTACATTTTTCAAGATAAAATCCAATTACCCGAAATCAAACAACTGAATTATAAAGTAAAATATACTTTCATTCCTTAAAATTCCTTTAAACCATAAATGTCATACTTTTCTTATGTATTTACACATCTAATACCCGAGCTTCACTTTTTTGCATTTATATCACCAAAATCTTTCACATCACATTCAAAAACATCACAACTTCAACTTTTAAAATAGAAATACTCATTTTCATGCATAAATAAGACAACATACATAAAAAAAATGAAATTTCGGCGTTAGATAAGCAAATATACAGAAATAAAATGACATGCATGCATGTAAATCTCCCTAAACTTTTCCATTTTGATCAGCACTAATATTCCTAACAGGCCCCTTGAACCATCTCCTGACATCCAACACCCACCACAACATTATAACACTAAGGAAGAGACCCAAAGCTCCCAGTGCATAGTTAAAGTCCTTCCAGTCTATGGGATACAAAGTTGGAAGAAGAAAAACCGAACAAGTGTAGCAGATCCATAAGATTGCTAGAAAACACACAGGCATACTGGCTTTGCCCAGGTAGAAAGCCCGGGCTTGAAGTGCTTCTCTGCAATGACTAATCTCGCCAACAGGTACTCCATAGCTCCACACCCACCCAACCGAGCATATAGAAATAATAGTTGTGAACACAACGTTAACCTTGACGATAGGAAACCCCATGATTATGCAGATGGCTGCGCAGAGCCATACTGCGTTAGTCGGAACTTTATGTTTCAGATGAATTTTACGCCACATTGATGATAAGGGAAAGCCTCCATCCCTCGATAATGCGTATACCTGCAAAACATTGATATTTTGATTTTTATTATGGAAGATTTACATCTCTAACAGCTAAACTTTAAGTTTTACTTGTTTGTTGCATTACCTATGTATGGAATCGTGTGTTTTACTTTTTTATAAGTTGAAGTAGTAGTATCTTGGATATGATATGAAAGAATTTTGGGGTGTGAATGTGAAACTCAAAGTTTGGGAGTTGATATGTAAATACATAAGAATAGGATGGTTTGTATGTAAATGCCCCTTTATTGCTTTGATACCTTTGTGCATAAATTGCATATAATTTAGGAGGAAAAAAGTGAAGAAATTTTGTAAAAAATTGCTTCAAAGGTCATCTTTTGATAGCGGAAAAAGAAATCTAGGCAGAAAAATAAAAGGAAAAACAAACTAACTAAAAAACTAATCATAAAAAGATATTAGAAAAGTGTTTACCACTCTAGCAGCACTAGTGGTGCCAGAGAGACTACCAAAGAACAATGGACCCCAAATAACAATTCGAAAAATGATAGCACCAATAGAATTATGATATCACCCATGAAAAACATCATATAATATCTGCGCAGGCACATATGCTCCCGCAGTTTCATTGTTCGCATCATAAAGATAGTTAAAATCCTGCAAATAATGTTTTTTTTTTCACTGTTACAAAAATTATTTAAGTTCTCAAATTTATAATATTCACTAAATTAATTAACTAAAATTTTACCTGGATGCAGAATGTAAGAACTAGGACATAACACCAGCCATACACTGAGACAATTCCAATAGATGTAAGAATAGAAATGGGGCCATTTTTATCAGCTCCCTTTGTTTCCTCTGTTATATGTGCTACAGTATCATATCCAAGAAAAGAAAGATACCTATAAAAGAACAAATATGATGATAGCATATGGCTTGCTGCTTATTCCTGTTAATTCTGAGCCTAATTCAAAATGGCTGAAGACAAAAGAGGCAGGCTGAGTAGATAAAGCCACTGGAGGAAGTAGCAAAATGAGTATGGAACCCCCAATCAGCTGTTTCAAATCTCAAAAAAATAAATCAAATAATAATAAGAAAGGCAAGGAATTAAAATGCATGAAAAGAGTGTGTTTTACTTCTTAAAAATTGAAAATGATGGTGTTTTTTGGTGTGTTATGAAATAATTGCATGGTATAAATGTAGAAAATAATGTTTAAATTAGGTGGTATGTATGTAAATTCCCCTAAACAGAAATTGAAATTCTTAATTAAAAAATGAACTTACCTGCCAAACTATTGATATCATGTCAATGAAGGCAATTACTTTTAATGCAAACGTGTTGAGTATGGCCCATATTTTATGGACCATATTATTGTAAAAAACGTGTACATCCCCAAAAAATCTGCAGGAGAGGCAAGGTAACCAGTACCTTTATGTGTACCAGTGCATACCAAAATAATAATTTGCAAGACTTGTGAGGATGAATAAGCCTACAAAAAATTCATAAATATAAAAAATGAAATAAGAAAAATGTTAAATTCAAATCAATGCACGTGTTAATATGATTACTAGAAAGAGAGAATTTTTACCATTGTGCCAATTCCAACAATGAGGTTGATTGTCTCTAGCCAAGCATAGCACCAAGATGCAAATGGTCCCCAAACTGGCCCAGCTTTATGTATAGATCTAGAGCAAATACTAATCTATAAAGGATAATTAAATATAAAATTAAAAGTTAATTACCATTAATAAATAACATTCTAATATTTATAATAAAATAACATGCATATAACTTATATCTAGTAATGAAAAATTATATTGCATGTGAGCACTTTAATGCTCTTCCAAATAGGCATCTTGGAGGCTTTCTCTTTAAAATACTTGGCAAATATCTCTTTCAATTTTAGGATTGTTTCATGAGCTTAGTACTTAATGATATAATATATCGAATGAAAATGCATTAGTCTAGAGTTCTTTTCGCTTTTCTCCTACTCCTTCAAAGTATTTCCCTCAATATACATTATATCCTTGTTCATCTTCTAAGATGATACTTATCACCCGTGAGTATCCAAAAAAATGCTTATTCGTTATTTGTAAATATTGATATCTAAATAAAAACAATACGATGCTTCTCTTGGTTGAATTAAATGTCATAAAAGGAAGATGAGGGCTTAGGAGCGTACGGGAAGAGATCTTAAGCTACCACAAAGGAGGAGAGAATAGCTAGAGAGCTACAGAGGAGGAGAGCATCTTGAGGCCTTGTATCAAGGGGTCGCTGGAGAGGGAGGCCATAGAAGGAAGATGAGGACTCATCTCTATGTATAAGCTATGTATTCTCCATTTCTTTTGCCTTAGTAAACTACTTGATTGATTCCCTTCCGTGGACGTAGATCCAGTTGGATCAACGATCTGTGTTTGCTTATGTTCTTTGTGTTTCATTTCTATGCCAGGAAGTACATATCTCACAACATTATTCATTTTCTTAGCATTATATTCTCTTTTATTCTTCTTTCTATTAGAATATAGGATTACCTATATTGGAAGGGATGATGAATGCTTTCAAATTTAAATAATTAAATATACATTAACACAAACTTTGACAAGAAGGATAATGAGGGGTCAATATTTATGAAGAAATCATAGTGAAGTGGCGTTAAAAGGAATTGTGATTAATAACTTTTTATAAGCTTTTAGGGGTTGTTAGACAACTTCTGGGATTTATACAATTAGGAATTACTAAATTCTAATCCAATTTTAGTAAATCCTAAAAATAGTTAAATCATCAAAACTGTTTGACAGTAGATTTAATAAATCCAGTTAAATTTTATAAAATGTTTAGATAACTTCTATCAAAATTTAAAAAATTATTAGATTTGTGAGAATACAAAAATATAATTATAATTTGATTATTCCATTATAAAGATAGAAATTAATTATTAGAACAAATAAAATTCATTTTTATTCATATATATGCTAATTAATAAATATTTATTTCACTAAACTAATTGATTAATAATAAAAATTTTGTTAATTTAACTTTTTTATTAAGTAATAATTTAACAATTTTTAGTTAATAATTATTTATTTATTTACTATATTGATTAATAATTACTTGAAATTTTATTTAATAAATTTGAATTTAACACAGTTTATTTTTAGGGAAATTTATGTACTTAGCATGCAATTCTTATGTATTTGCATATCTCATGCCTTAACTGTCAGAATTACATACATATAGCACCTTAAACATAGGTACAAAAATGTATCTTCCACTTTTTAAAAGTTGTTATAGTGCCTTTTTTGATGTAATATTAAGGATTTGTGTGTTATATGTGTATATATAGAA